CCCGCGTCCCGTCCGCCTCGCTCATGCTCCTCCTCGTTCTCCTGGCTCAGGCCCTGGCCAACGAGCTGCTGCCCTCCACCAAGGGCCACGGCATGGGCTGGGGCTGGGCGGTCTGGACCTTTGGGTTCGCATTCCTGCCGCCCCTGCAGGTGGGCACGAGGGCGCATGAGGGCGCAAGCGCAGCTCAAGCCGCCCCCCCCCCCTAACCCCCGCCTCGGAAAACCCGCGCGGCTCGCGATGCGACAGGGGGGGCCAGCCTTTGGGGGTGCTGTCGTGGTGCGCTGCTGCAGCGGCAGCACGAACGCTAGCAGCCCTGGAACCCCCTCGTGCGGCTCTACTCCGCATGAGTGCACCTCGGGGGCTGGCCGCCGCGGCCTCTTCGATACAGCACCCGGCCCCCTTCCCACTCAACCACCACCCAACCTCTCACCCCCGGCCAACCCGCGCACCCGGGGCTTCATTGTCGTGATTGTGACGGCAGATCTTCCAGCTCATCAGCGCGAAATTGAACCCCGCCATGTGCCTCGCGCAAGCCATCTGGGGGTGAGGCTGCGGGCGCAGCGGCGCGCTGGACGTTTGAGGCGCGACACCGCCCGGTGGCAGGCGTTTTCATGTTTGGTTCTGTCGACCATGGCTCTGCTGCTCCTGCAATCTCGGTCTTGTTGGCAACTGCTGTCTTGCTACCCCGCATGCTGCTGCACCGAGCCAGTCCATTGCAAACATGCATCTGCACCCCTCCCCGCCCACCCGCTCAATTTCGCATCCCCAGGAACATCACGTGGGTCGACTTTGTGGTGCTGTCACTGGCAGAGGTGGCGGGCGCTTTCGTCGGTGAGGGGCGCACGTGCCAAAACGGCTGCCACGAGCGCATGAGCACGAGCGCCACCGTGGCGACCGCCCGGCCCACACCCATCATTACGGGGGCCAAGGCTCCCCGCTGAATCTTGCTCTGGCTGTTTGTGATTGCCGCTGTCCTTGGTAAATCTACGCCTCACATCCTATGCAAACATCCTGTTCCCGCCCTCTGTCAGCCAGCAGCGCCAACGTCCCCCGCCAACGTCACGCGCTGCCCCCTCATTGCCCCCACAGGCGCCGTGCTGCACTGGCTGCACTTCTACCCCCACTGGCGCACCCTGCCCGAGCCGCCCGCGGAGCACAGCTCAGAGCGCCTGCTGCGGCGGCGCGACGTGGCGGCGGACAACGCGCTGCGCTTCGCGGGTTACACCACGCGCCGCGACCGCGTGGTGCGCGCGCGCGCGCGCACCTTCGCATGTGCACTTGCAGCATTGTGTTCGCACACGCGCGTCAGCAGGGGGCGAAGCCGCATCAGCTCCTGTATTCAGACACACACACACACACACACACACACACACACACACACACACACACACACGCACGCACGCACACAGACACACACACACACACGCACGCACACGCGCATACACAAAAATATACACACGCGCCTGCACTCACACTGTGCATTGATCCCTCTCCCCGCAGGTGCGCGCCAGGAACCCGCTGTCTGACCTGCGCTACCGCCTGACCGGCGCAGTCGGGGCGTCCCCCCAGGGTGAGGAGCGCAGCGCCCAGGACCTGCTGCACGAGTACTACCACGACAGGTGGGGTTTCACCAAGGCGGGCGGCGTGGCCGTGATGCCGCAGTGACGTGTGGTGATGTCATCACTGTGCCGCGCGTATCCTTTTAGTGGGGGTGTCGTGAATTTTCTGTGCGCGGCTGGCTTGTTCGAGGTGGAGGTGGAGCGTTCTGTGGTCGTTCGGTGATGATGTAGGGATGACGTCATCATCCTGGTGCCGGGTGTGCAACGGCTGCAGGGGCGTGCGGCAGCAGGGGTCGGCCATAGAGGCAACGTTTCAAGAGGAGGTTCGGTGCTGGCCGCCGCCTGGCCGCCCTTCACCGGCGTGCCTGCTTTCACGGCTGTGTGCTTTCTTCGAACCATGAAAAAACCGCTCCATTGATGATTGGAAGCCCTCAATTCCGCCCTGTTCCTGGCCCCGCCAGCGCCTCACGAGACGCGATTGTGCTGTGTCCTTCACCGCAGGGACCCAGTGCACCGCGCCGCCAGCCTCACGGGCGCCCAACCCCTGGCGCGGGACATGCAGCCCCTCGCACGCCGCACCCTGCAAGTCGCAGGTGAGAGCGCCGGCTGCGTGCCCTCGGCATTGCCCCACGCGCCGCCGACCACTCCCAGCCCGTGCACCCTCTCCCACTGCCGTCGCGTTCCCGCTCGCATGCAGCCAGCACGAGCCGCCTTCCCTGCATTCTCGATACTTGAAGACCCCCCTGTTTGCGCCGGCCTCTTGGCGCTGGCCTTTGACTCACCACCTGATGCTGTGCACAGCCCGCATTGTCCGCACTTTCCCCCCAGCCTTTGTTGACCCAACCCCCGATCAAAGCTGATTTTTGCCACCTTGTTATCACCTAGCTGACAAGGCGAGCTCCCCCTTTTTCGGCCCTTGCCCAATCCCCGCCGCCACCAGACCTGCAGCGCCACCTGGCAGCCAAGCACGTGGAGGGCGTCCTGCGCCACCGCACCTGCCCCTCCTGCGCCGACACCAAGGGGGCGCCCACTGGCGGCAACGGCGACGCGGCGGCGGCCGCCCCCCACGACCAGGCGGAGGGTGATGTCAGCATCGCAGTGAGGAGGGGGGGGTGGGGCTGGGGGGGGATTGGGCTTGGGATTGGGGCTAAGGATGATGTTGGGATAGGTGTGAGGCTGGGTGGGTTGACTAGGCAGGGCCACAGTGCAGGGGCAGGGGGCTGTCTAAGACAGGTAAGGAAGGGCGGGAGGGGACATCATCCGCCCCAAGTGTGGGGTTGAACCGGAATCAGAACCAGACGGCGCAAGGCACAATGCGCACAGCCTTCCAGGATGGAGAGTGCAGGGCAGCTGGTGCGACGCGCTGCCCTTGCCTGCTGTCAACGTGCCGCGGCTCATGGGGGCCCTCCCGCACCCCCAGGTGCCTCAGGGTGAGGGCGGCAGCAAATACGTGGACGAAGAGAAGAAGAGGGCACTGGTGCGCGCCGCCCGGTCAAACCTGGGTTGACTCGCGGCCTACTGCGCTTCCCTGAGGCCCCTCAATGGTCACCCGCCGTTGCGGTGCCGCCAGCAATCCACCTGGAGCGAAGGCGCCGCCGCCGACCGGGCCTTGCCGCGCCTGGGAAGCCACGGCAGGTTGGGGCAGGCCCGGTGGGACCCCCCTGCGTCAGCCGCCCGCGCCCGGCCGCTCCCCCTCAACATTGTCCCCGCAAGGCCCCGCGGCCCTGTGCGGCGCCCTCCTCATCAAGTCAACCCTCGCCCTCACCCCGCGGCCTCCCGCCTTGGCTTTCCCTGGCGAATCCTGCATTTGAATGTCATCGCATCACCGCACGCCTTGCAACAGCAAAGCAAAACAAGCAAAGCCCAAATTGGCTACCAAACCCCATCTCAGTGCAGTCTGACTCCAAACCCCGCCACCGCCAGGCCCTCTACGAGGCGGCCCTGGTCGCAGACAGGAACCTGAAGCTCTCCATCTTCGCCACGCGCCCCGCCATCAACGGTGTGTGCACCTTTGCGTGCGCGCGGGCAGGGGGTGGGGGAGGGGGGACAAGCGCGCGTGCTCTTGCGCAGGCCGCGCACCTGGCTGAGCGGCTGCGGGGCGGACCTGGACACCCAGGAAACCGGGGACGCGAGCATAATGTGAAGGGCCAGAGGGCGGAGGACAGGGCGGCAGGGGGACTGCCCTGCTGCTCGCCGGCGTCCTGGGCGTTTGCCCGCCACCTTGGCAGGCGCCGCGCGGCCCCTGCGACAGCAGCGTCCCCTTTCGTCCCTGGCTGGTCCCAACTTCGTGGACGCTCCCTGACAAAAGCTCTGCCGCCTCTGTGCCCATCCTCCGGGCCTGACACCCCCCCCCCCCCACAACCACTCCCCCCCAGCGCCGCTGTTCAACCTGCTGACTGAAACCATGGGGACCACCGCCCTCATCCTCATAGCCCTGCTCATAGAGCTGCAGGTGGGGGCATGTCAGTGTGTGTGTATGTATGTGTGTGTGCGCGTGCGTGCGTGCGTGTGCGTACGTGCGCTTGCGCGTGCGCGTGCGTGTGTGTGTGTGTGTGTGTGTGTGTGTGTATGTGTGTGCGTGCGAGCATGCGTGCGTGTGTGTGTGTATGTGCGTGCGTGCGTGCGTGCGTGCGTGCGTGTGCGTGCATGTGCGTGCGTGTGCGTGCATGTGCGTG